CTCTGCACGCCTGCAAGCGCGCCTGAGAGCACGAGTACAGTCATTGAGCCACGGCTCTGAGAGAACTTTGGTGCGTCTAAGCGTAAAAGGAGCAACAGAATCCAGTATTAGTGTGCATGTCGAGTCAAACATGGAGATCAGCTCATCAGCATTAAAAGCACAGTTCACCTCTAATTTACAGATCGGAGAAGCATTAAAAACATCAGAGAACTGTGAGGCAGTCAAGGGGTTAATTGAACGCAGACGACGCGCCGGGGCACGTGATTCGACTCCTGCGGAAGGGATGGTGGTTGTAAACAGAACCGGTAAATGGTCTGAGATACGCGTTGCTGCACATATTTCATCCACAGATACAGACAGTCCAAACGATAATACTAAGTCCAAAGTGTGTCCTTTTTCGTGTGTTGGGCCAGCCACGGACTGAACGAGACCAAAAGAATCAAGGAGATTTAAAAAGTCCCTAACCAGAGGTTTAGACTCGCAACACACATGGACATTGAAGTCTCCGGAGATCAAAACACGATCATATTTCACCATGATCCCGGACAGAAAGTCAGAAAAGTCATTTATGAAATCCTTATTGCACTTTGGCGGACGATACACGACTGCGCAGAGTATAGGCGAGGCCGGGTTCAGTTCAAAAAGCTGCAACTCAAAGCTAGCATAGCTAGTTACAGGGTGAAGCAATCGGCATTGGAGGTTAGCTCTAAACACTGATGCTATGCCCCCACCATGGCCAGTGGCACGGGGGGAGCTGAAGAATGTACAGTCAGGAGGAAGAAGTTCAGAGAACGGTGTATACTCGCCAGCGTGAGCCCAGGTCTCCATCAGGAACATCAAATCCAGTTCACGAGAGGTGAAGAAGTCGTTTAGCAGGAACGTTTTGTTTGCTATCGACCTAGCATTTAGCAAAGCCATGCAAAGTTTTCGCTCCGGGCTTGCCGAAGGTGTAGTGCGTCTCAGCTGACGAAGATGTGCGTTTTGAATGCCGCGCGGGCCGGGAGCAGTCAGTCGGGCAGGAGGAGTTGCCAGTGGGCACAGCAGAGTCCGCAGCTCCGGAAAAACAGGGCGAATCCACCGATCCCTCACATGGCGTGCAGCGGGAGGGCCATGACATCCGAGGCGTGGATAAGTCCCAGAAGAAGCCATCAGGTATGCCTTCAGATGGACCAGTGCACCACCATGCTTTCCCCGTTGTCTAAAGCGCTTTCGGCGAGGCAGGATGCAGGGCGACCGGCGCAGGTAGGTGGGAATATTCGACAGTAGAGGGGGGGGGGGGGACGATTTATGGTTGCCAGATGTAGGTTTGGGCAGCAATATCATCTCCAGTGAGGGTCTGAGGTGGAGGAGAGCTTGGCGATCGTAAACGAGCAGAGCAGAGACATTCTGACAAACATAAAACAAAAACAGGATAGCTAAAGGCAGAGAGCTGAGGGAGCAGCGAGCCGACACAGGCGCCATCTTGAATCACGTCAGAATCAGGAGGTATTGTGTGAAAATAAATGTAAGATGTTGTTTAATTGCTGATATATTTATGATTCACATCACGTATTCAGTTTTGGCGGCACTTCTTCCAGTTGGTCCAGAAGTCTTCTCATCAGGGCTCTATAAATACAGAACTACGGCAGATGTGTAATATTTAATGCAGCCGAACCGTGTATTACAATGCCGTTATGTGATGACTTTCAAAGAGAAAAGCAAGAGCACTCGGAATAAAGTATTATTATTATTTTTTTAAATGTTTTCGGATTTCACATCGCATAAACACCATATCCCAACATGCATTGCGGCTAAACAATACAATCACTGAGCTGAGGACCTTTCCTACGTCTGTTTCCGGTATTGTTCCTGGAAAAACATTCCCAGTTAAACATGCAAAAACAAATCGCTAAATAAAAAGATAAAACACTGGCATTTAATTTACGTTAGAATAAATAGAATGGTTTTGAATAATAGATGAGAGTAAAATCTACGTCACTTTACGGCCCCGCCCACTTTTGGGGAAACCAACGCTGTCATTTGAACGGCGATCAAGCCTGAAGCCACAGAGCTCTTCTTTACTGTCCTTTCTTCTTAGAGGAAGTACAGAAACACGTAACTCTGGATTTGTTTTAATGTTTGAGGAGCAATAAACGAGCTTGTTGGCATGATACAACTATTATTTTCTGCCTCGCTCATGAGAGTAACAGCTGGAGAAATTACAGCCTCGCCTACTGATTTCAATTTAATCATATATCGAGTCCGATCGTCGATTTCAAATGTGTGCTCTAAAATGATATTTGTTAAATCACTATTATAATTATTATAAGCAAGACAATAAATGGCAAAGATATGTAGAAAATAAGATACGTTCATAACAAACGTAACGTGGGAGAAAATATGTTTCTAGAAGATATGTAGAACATAAACGTATTGAAAACGCTCCTGTGGGTCGTATTATGGGTCGGAACAATCGGCCTATTTGGTCGTGTTAGTTGGAGGACTTGTTGCCTCAAACAGTAACTTCATCATGTTGATGGTTGGCTGCTCCTTTAAAAACTATTCATCTAGTTTGTTGTCTGCTCTTGTGCGTAGTGAATACTAAAGAAGACCATTGTCTCTGTGTTAGCTGATTATTTTGTAGAATTCTGTTAAATATTAAACACTTGCGTGAGTGTGAGGGTACGTCAGAGATATGCAACTATATTTAATTTTTTGTTTTAAAACGTTTTTTTATAAATGATTATGGGAAGTGCCCTTTTTCTCACTTGAGCTCCTGCCCCCCAAAGTGTGTGTGCACGTCCCTGCTCAGAGTGTCCGTGGAGGACACGGGTCAGAGTGTCCGTGGAGGACACGGGTCAGAGTGTCCGTGGAGGACACGGGTCAGAGTGTCCGTGGAGGACACGGGTCAGAGTGTGGAGGACACGGGTCAGAGTGTCCGTGGAGGACACGGGTCAGAGTGTTCAAATCAATAGGCACGCAATGACTCTAAATAATAATGATCACGCCACCAAACACACATTCAAACTAAAGGAACCAGCCTGTTTGGGAAATGTGAGAAGTAGAAAGTACAGGTATTTGTGTTCAACATGTAAGAAGTAGAAAGTACAGGTATTTGGGTTCAACATGTAAGAAGTAGAAAGTACAGGTATTTGTGTTCAACATGTAAGAAGTAGAAAGTACAGGTATTTGTGTTCAACATGTAAGAAGTAGAAAGTACAGGTATCTGTGTTCAACATGGAAGAAGTAGAAAGTACAGGTATTTGTGTTCAACATGGAAGAAGTAGAAAGTACAGGTATTTGAGTTCAACATGTAAGAAGTAGAAAGTACAGGTATTTGGGTTCAACATGTAAGAAGTAGAAAGTACAGGTATTTGGGTTCAACAAGTAAGAAGTAGAAAGTACAGGTATTAGTGTTCAACATGGAAGAAGTAGAAAGTAAAATGTAGTGGAGTAAAGTACTGATACCAGAAACATGTACTTAAGTACAGTAACAAAGTATTTGTACTCCACTACTTCCCAGCTCTGCTCGTTAGAAACCCTTTGAGACGCTGCTCAGGGATTGAGTCTCTGTCAGGTCTTCCTCCTCAGAGAGACTTAGGCCCAAATTGAAACTGCAAACAGTGATGAATGGGCCCGAGCAAGGCGTCGCACGTTGGGGTACTTCATGGATCCACGCACGAGCAGCACCGAATCGCCATCGTCACTCACCAATTCCAGCCGTTGCATTTCACATATTTGGGTATAATAAACAACAAGTTAGTCTAACACAGGTAAACATCATTAATACTAGGATTATTACTTTTTTCTTAAAATCTAAAAATTCCGACTCTTTCTTAAAATCAAAAAATTCTAAATCTTACATACATTATATACTCTAAGACTAATATTAAAAATAACTTCTGTTTTCACAGTTTGCGAACGTGATGAATGGTGAAATTATACTTTAAAAAAAAAGAAAACATGTTATTTAATAACCTTGAATGTACACTCTTAGGCAGTATAAACCATATAAGGATGGACAGATCATTAGAAACACCTCTCAGTTAAAGGTGGGGTAGGTACGTTTGAGAAACCGGCTCGAGATCGCTAGAATTTGAAAATACACAGCCGGAAGAAATCTGCCACTTCCTCACAGAGCCCCTCCTCCAACACACAGGAACGTGCACATGACCAATGAGGGCACGAGATAAGTTTGTGCACAGATGGAAGGCTGACAGGCAGGTAGGCCATCCAGTTATTTTAGCCGGGCCGGCTCAGATGATTGGTCGTGCTTTTTACAGTACTACGGCTTCCACAGATGATGATTTTTTTATGGATTTCTTGTCAAAGCACTTCAGATATTCATTGCTATCGGGATGTTAAGAGCATTCCATGGAATATAACAAAAAGTGTATCTCGAGCCAGTTTCTCAAACTTACCTACCCTACCTTTAAATAGACTCCAATAAAACAGCAGTTTAAAGCAAGGAAAATGTTCCATGTTTGTTTTGTCAAAGATCCAAGGCAAGTTTATTTATAAAGCACCTTTCAACAGGAGGAAAACACATGAAATACCCCTTACCCAAGGCCATTCAGTTAAAAGTTAACAAGGCTGCCTCTTTCAATGGACTCTTGTCCCCAAAATGTGCTGACGTGCAGGGGTTAAGTTGGGATGTGATATGTGGGGTGGAGGTTCGGGGTGGGTAGCATCATTAAACTTGAATTAGTTTCCATCTAAAATGATTTATACAGACACAAAACATTTGTACGTGCTTTGTATTGGTCGGGCGTATTAGAATAGTTGAATGTGTGTGTGTGGAAATCTCAGTTCATTTGTAGGGCTGCGAGATTATGGCCAAAAGTATGCAGTAGATCTCACGGTAAACAATTTGATCATAACCACGTTCTGTGAGATTATGATCATAGCTCAGCTTTATGCACACACATACATCTAGCATGGTTTAAGAAAGGGCTCCGTGTTGCAGGACGGGTCGGGCGGTGCTGCGACTCCTGATCGGAGACACATACATATCGTTTTTTGTAAACATATGACAAATGTGCGAGGGTGATGACGTCAGGGCATCGTCCTCTGGGCCGGAGTTCATCGGTGAGAAACAGCAGCTGATCAGTGATGTGTTCAACATAAATAAGACAGGAAGGCAGAGTGGACACACTGCGGGAAGATCTCCTTCAGATCACTGCAGCAGAAACATGACCATGAAGGTGAGGACAATTTAACATTTAAAATACTCTGTTATAATTCAAAGTCCTGCATTCAGCAAAATGACCTAAGATACAGTTGTTGATGAACTTACTTTATAACCTTTTATTCATTGTATAGAAGAGGATAATTGTGATATCTTTTTATATATCTGACAAAAAGTGTTTTTTTTCTATTTCTGAGATTAAAGTCTGAACTTTGACTTTTTGAAAAGAAGAATCACTTTTGGTCCGATGTGAAAAGATGTTTTACATGTGACCCTGATCCTCTTCTGTATACTTGCTGTATATATATATATATATATATATATATATATATTATAATATCCTTCATATGGTGTGATCAAATATGAGGATAAAATGTGCTTTGTTATCTTACCTATGTGGAAGAGCATGAGAGCCACATGTGCATTTTGTTTTAGATCTGACAAAAAGTGGGGTTTTTTGTTCTGAGATTAAAGTCAGAATTTTGACTTTTTTCCCTGAAATGTATTTTGTTCTTTTTAAATCAGATTTTTCCCAGAATTACATTTTTTGACTCAGGATTTCTCAGATTAAAGTCAGAACAACATGTCCTCTGTCCAGCTGGTCTCAGTCGGCCTCGTCCTCCTGGCTCTGCTGTTTGACAGAGGCATGTCTCAGGGCTCTAAGATCCTCCCAATGGAATGCAGCGACATCATCAACAGACCCAGTGGAGTTTACCCCATCTACCCCATCGATCCCGTCTCTGCTTACCTGGTACAGCCTCTGAGAGATTTCATACAACAGTATATCTCACTGATCAAATGGATAGGATGTGTTAATGAGAACGTGTGTGTGTGTGTGTGTGCGAGTGCGTGTGCGTGTGTGTGTGTGTGTGTGTGTGTGTGTGTGTGTGTGTGTGTGTGTGTGTGTGTGTGTGTGTGTGTGTGTGTGTGTGTGTGTGTGTGTGTGTGTGTGTGTGTGTGTGTGTGTGTGTGTGTGTGTGTGTGTGTGTAGGTGTACTGTGACATGGACTCACTGGGCGGACGGTGGACGGTGAGTACCTGAACTCAAAAGCTAAATCTGGCCCCCAGTTATCTGTGAACTGAAACCTGGTCAGACAGCAGAGATGAAATATACGTACAGTATCTTTGTGCAGGATAAAAAAAAGTAAAGTATTTAGTCTAATCTATCAAATCTACAGTTTGATATATCTATCCAGAGACCGTTGGGACACTTGAAGTGTGTTAGCTAAACCATGCTAGTCAGGTTAGCTCCTGAATGCATTCAGTGAATGGCAGTGAGAAATCAGAGGCTCCACTTTAGATCTACTGTTGGCTCCTGTTCCCAGTAGAGGCTGGTTCAACTCTGTCATGCTCTTTTTCCATGGACTGGAAATGTCCATTATATTTGCTGAGAGATTTAGTATTTCCCCCAGGTGTTCCAGAGGAGGATGGACGGCTCGGTGAACTTCTACCGGCCCTGGTATGACTACAAGACGGGCTTTGGTAACGCCTTCGGAGAATACTGGCTCGGTGAGAGATGAAGACGAACCGGAGGTCCTGACTTGATCAAACTCACGGTTTCCTAGCGTTCATGGTGTCTGTTTGTCTGCAGGTCTTGAGACTCTCTCCCTCCTGACTCTGAGGAAGAATTACGAGCTGCAGGTGGACATGGAGGACTTTCAAGGCGGCAAAGTGTTCGCTCGGTACTCCTCGTTCACCGTGCAGCCCGAGTCCTCCGGGTTCACTTTGTTTGTTTCTGGATTCACTGATGGAGGGGCAGGTGAGGAACAGCAGGAAGTGCTTGATGTCTTTCTGATGTTCAGGAGACGCTCTCACACTTAGGACTGGCTTTCAGACATCAGAGAGAGACTAGAGAATGCAATTCCTGAAGAAATTGCTAGTGGGAATGCTTTATGCTGAAATGTAATGTGTAAGAAGAAAGTGAAGCATTTAGATTGAAATGATACATGAACGCTGGGGGCTTGAATGTGTGATGAGAGAAGAAAAGAAAGTAAAAAGGCTTGGAAAAGCAGCAGAATATTTGAACTGCAAACTTTTGAACTAACTTGATGGCGAATGATCTGTTGCTATGCCAACGGCATTTGATGACATCCCATAATACGCTTAGATGCGTTGATGGCTGCATCGTTACCAACCCTGTGAAGTTTTGGGCTGTTTGGAGCATTGTGTTGCCATGGCAACGGCAATTGAAGAAATCTCAAAACTGTCCCGTAGATGTCTTCACGGCTGGACTGTTAGCACACATGTGAAGTTTGAGCACTTTTTGAACATTTTCATAGGAGTTCATGTATAGCGACATCGTCTTTTATGGCGAGGGATGTGTTTCCATGGAAACGGCATATGATGACACCCCATAATTGACGTAGAGCTGTTGAGGGCAGGACCATTAACCATTATCTGAAGTCTGCTGCTCTGAGCATGTCAGTTGGAGTTATGACATCATCGTGTTCCATGACACAGGTGTTTATATTTGAGCTAACGACGTGCAGAATATTTGAACTGAAAACTTTAGAACTAAAAGCATACGTCACCAATAATGTCTAAAATATGTGGAACATGTTGAAGTCAGTATGAAGTCTCCATCAGACGGAAAGGAATAGGCTGAGACAGTCTGTTAAACTCCAGTGACCACGTCATTAGTCTGCTGCTCTAATTATGTCAGTTGGAGTTATGACATCATCGTGTTCCATAACACAGGTGTTTATATTTGAGCTAACGACGTCTCCAGAGATCAAAGGTTTCCATGGTGATCAGTGAGAGGAGAGCATTTTCATTGTTCTGAATGTTGTTACCTGTTTTGTTGAAGAACCGTAACAGATATCGGTGAAATTTCAAAGCGTGAAGCATGTCAAGGAACTTGAGCATCTGAAGTGTACTTTTTGTGTACTTTCGGGTTAATAATGTGGCCTTTTTGGCAGTTTAACTAAAGGTGTGTGGCTGCTGTGGTGGGGAAAGGTGAAATTACAATGGGTTTTAATGGAGACATGTTGAAGGTTTTTGTCACTTCATGCCCTCAAAAGGCATTTTGTTTAATTATTTTTGCTTAATTTGTTTTTATCTTTCAAGCTACGAGATGTTTTCCTACGTTTGTCATGAAGAATTATGTTTCAGGAATGTAGGGTTTGGGAATTATGTCAGGTTTAAAAGAAAATATGAAGTCAAAATGAAATCTGTCCTCCACTCTAGCTGTGACATCACACACTCTAAAATCTGAAGAAGGCCTCTTTACCAAGGTCTGAACAATGTTTAATATCTCTAAAAGTACGAATCAGATTTAAAGGTTGTGTTACACGAATAATGTCAGAAAGATGTGTAACATTTTAAAGTTGGAATGAGGTTTCTGAGTGAAAGTATGAAGGAGCAGTTAGCAGTTGAAGAAGGAGCAGTTAGCAGTTGAAGAAGGAGCAGTTAGCAGTTGAAGAAGGAGCAGTTAGCAGTTGAAGAAGGAGCAGTTAGCAGTTGAAGTTGCATGAAGATTGCTGAAGTCTGAAGATTTCTCCATTGACTTCCATGTTAAAAATGGGATGTATTATGGGATGTATCTCTGGAATTATGAAAGTTATGAATGATAAAAGTAATAGCCATTGATTCCCGACCAAGCTGAACGTTTTGATGTTTGAACGGAGTTTCTGCGATGTTCAATGTGGGAGAAGAAGCAGTGCAAAATAACCCGGCGGAATAATAAAGAATTTCGTGCGTAGCATAACAGATAGTGGGAATGCTGTGTCAGCATTCCCACTAAATAAGTGGGTAACAACAGCAGATCAGGAACTGTGGCTATATGCCGATGACATTCTTCTGTATATCACACATCTGGAGGTTCCTATATATTTAACAATGAATGATCTGGGCTGTCCTCAGGCTAATGACTGATTGACAAAGAGAACATTACCCAAAGGGACCGTGCTGTAGTTCCTTTACAGCCTAATGTTGTTATATATATTCTGGAGATGCATTTAAACTTCAGAAATCATAAAGTGTTTTAATGTGTGGAGATTATTTTCTGCTATATTACAAAATCACATGGAGAAATCCCATTGGACCAGGGACATGCTGCCTTCAGGGACCAACACAGAAATACTTCATCCCTGTATTAGTTGTATTATAATATTCTGATTATACACTTGTTGTGTTTCTGTAGGAGACTCCCTGAGTGATCATAACGGACAGAAGTTCTCCACCTTCGACAAAGACCAGGACTCTTCGACTGTTAACTGTGCCACATCATACGTGGGGGGGTTCTGGTACAACCGTTGTTACGACACAAATCTCAACGGGGTTTATCGTCAGCAGGGTAATACAGATAACGGAGTGATCTGGTCCTCTTGGAAGGGTTACAACTACTCCCTGAAATCCATCAGCATGAAGATCCGTCCTGTGCAGTAGTTCTGCAGGACAGCAACATGTCCTCAGCTGATATCAATCACATGTAATCACTCATCACTTTAAGATGGAAACAGATCCACACAGTGTGATAATGTCTACGTTTTAAATTCAAACTGAATCACTATTTGCTTCACGCTGACAATAAATGAAAACAATTAAGCTGATGTGATGTCTTCACTTTGTCTCCTGGGTCTTTCTGTCTCTGTGTCCTCACACTTTCCTGTTCACAAACAGAAATGATCACAAATCACTGCCCTCTGCTGGCAACAGAGACGAACTCCAGCTCCACCTTATTCATGGGAAAAAACATTTTAACCTTCTGAACCTCAGGGTCTTTCTCTGCAGTCTTCACCTTATTCTTAGCCACAGTCACATGCATTCCGGGGGCCAGAGCGGGCGACGTTGAGGCGCATCTTAAACTGCTGGCTAAAAATAAACGTAAATACAGTAGGATTGTTTTTCACGTCGGTGGTAATGATGTTCGTTTACGCCAATCAGAATGCACCAAAGCTAATGTGGCGTCGGTGTTTAGATATGCTAAAACAAGGTCGGACACCATAATTTTCTCTGGTCCCCTCCCCAATCTGATCAATGACGACATGTATAGCCGCATGCCATCATTCCAGCGCTGGTTGTCTTGGTGGTGCCCAGCAAACGATGTGGGTTTCGTAAATAATTGGACAGCCCTCTGGGGAAAACCTGGTCTGATTAAGAGAGACGGCATTCATCCTACTCTGGAAGGTGCAGATCTCATTTAGGCAAACATTTCAGAGCTTTGTAATCCATGACAAACTGGAGTTGAGACCAGGAGGCGGAGTCGCAGTCTTACACGCTTCTCTGCGCTCTCTCCTGGGCAGTCATTCATAGGAATCCTCAACCCAATAAACCCAATATTAACGGTGTGTGTGTCTGCCCAAGGTCAATTTAAGGTAAAACCTAATAGAGGTGTCATACATAATAACCTCATAAAAGTAAATGTAACAACTACTACAGTGCAACAAAACAGGAAGATTAAATGTGGTCTCTTAAACATAAGATCTCTAGCATCTAGAGCAATATTGGTAAATGATTTAATATCAGATTATAATATTGATATGCGCTGTCTCACTGAAACTTGGTTGAGACATGAAGAATATGTCAGCATAAATGAGGCCACTCCACCCAGCCATATCAATACTCATATTGCTCGAGGCACAGGCCGAGGAGGTGGAGTTGCAGCCATCTTTGACTCAAGTTTACTTATCAATATAATTAAATTATACCTCCTTTGAAAGCCTTGTTTTTAGTCTTATGCATCCGACCTGGAAGACTTTGCAGCCAATCTTATTTGTTACAGTGTACCGTGCACCAGGTCCTTATTCAGAATTCTGATCAGAATTCTCTGAGTTTTTATCGACGTTGGTACTTACAACAGATCAAGTCATTATCGTAGGTGACTTTAATATTCATGTTGACGACGATAAAAATAGCCTTACTGTTGCATTTAAGACAAGAGCACTTAGTTGGCATACAGGGAACTGCTTTAGGCCGGTTTAGGTCCTATCTATCTGAACGCTCTCAGTTTGTATGTGTCAACGATGAATCTTCCATGCAGACCAAAGTTAGCCATGGAGTGCCACAGGGCTCAGTGCTTGGACCTATTTTGTTCTGTGTAGCATCCTATACATCACATGTATAGGATGCTACACAGGTCACTGTAAAGATAAAGTGTCAGAGGAGAAATAAGCAAGCTTAGTTACATGAAATGTAATGAAAAATGTAAGATACAGGCTCTGTTTAATCGCCATGTAGGTTCTCTTTTATTGCACACTCAAGACAATATCAATAACAGCATCACGCTGTCCCAGGTGTGTCGTATGCATGTAAATAGAAGTTAACATTTTCAATATAAAATAAAGTGTCAGTAGTATCAAAACATATATATATATATAATAACAATAGATAGGCTCAGCAGCAGACACACCTTAGTGCAAAGTGAAGTGTCAGTATTAATAACAGTGGCATATATATAATCACAATAATACAAAATTAACTGTCCCAGGTGTAGGCAATTTGGGGTGAAGTGTCTTGCCCAGGGACACAACGACATGCTGACTGCAGTGGGGTTTGAACCTGTGCTCCCCTGATCCGAACACCAACGCACCAGACCACTGCACCACACGCCTCCCAACAAGTCATTGTACAGTTTATCAACGACGACAAGTTTTTCTTAATTTTTGTATTGAAGGCCTGTTGGATTTAATCAGCTCGCTTAGCACTGCCAGAAGCAGTGGGCCTTGATTCCTGGGCCTTGTGTGAATGCAGCAGCCGTTCGTCGTGCATCTCCTTGGCACGCAGGTCCTCATTCTCCTTGCTGACCATGGCACGGCGGTCCTCCATCGCCATGATGGTGTCAAGGAAGCTGTCATCCCGTGCCCACTTTCCTAAGGAGAAATAAGCAAGATACAAGATCAGTTTAATCGCCTAGTAGGTTGTCAACAGAGACAACATTGGACATGGTGCAGGCAGGGACAGTGTACAACATGCAGGTGTAAAGTAGAAGATAGGATCAAATAATATCAAATACAAAATAAATATCAAAGTGCCCTTATTTATTGTTTTGTGCTTAATGTATGCTTGAACTTTGTTTTATAGGGATTAGTGGACATCAGTTAGATGCGTAACCTTCTTTCAAGGCCAGAGTAGTTACAGTGTAAGTGGATTGACATCTAACATAACATGGCTGAGTACAATTATAACAATCAATAAAAAAAAGGAAAAATAAATAGAATTTCAATTACATTTTTACTTAAAGGTGGGGTAGGTAAGTTTGAGAAACCGGCTCGACATACACTTTTTGTTATATTCCATGGAATGCTCTTAACATCCTGATAGCAATGAATATCTGAAGTGCTTTGACAAAAAATCCATAAAGAAATGTAATCTGTGGAAGCTGTAGTACTGTAAAAAGCACGACCAATCATCTGAGCCGGCCCGGCTAAAGTAACTGGATGGCCTACCTGCCTGTCAGCCTTCCATCTGTGCACAAACTTATCTCGTGCCCTCATTGGTCATGTGCGCGTTCGTGTGTGTTGGAGGAGGGGCTCTGTGAGGAAGTACAGTACCTTTAAAGGTATAGGGTAACAGGAACTGCCGCTAAAACTGAAAACTTGACGTGGATCTTAAATATATAAGCAATTAAACAACATCTTACATTTCTTTTCACACAATACGTCTCCTTGCAGAATCAACACTAATTCGGCTGACTTTTATATTTGATCCAATTGGTAGATAGGCTGTATTTACGCCATAACGGTGCACAGCTGATAGAAAGGGACACCTACTGGTTAAAGCACGTTATTGCATTTTATAATTGTATTCTCTGCTCCTGTAATATGCGTCTATAGAGTACTCTCTGCTCCTGTAGTATGCGTCTATAGAGAACTCTCTGCTCCTGTAGTATACGTCTATAGAGTACTCTCTGCTCCTGTAGTATGCGTCTATAGAGTACTCTCTGCTCCTGTAGTATGCGTCTATAGAGTACTCTCTGCTCCTGTAGTATACGTCTATAGAGTACTCTCTGCTCCTGTAGTATGCGTCTATAGAGTACTCTCTGCTCCTGTAGTATGCGTCTATAGAGTACTCTCTGCTCCTGTAGTATACGTCTACAGAGTACTCTCTGCTCCTGTAGTATACGTCTACAGAGAACTCTCTGCTCCTGTAGTATGCGTCTACAGAGTACTCTCTGCTCCTGTAGTATGCGTCTACAGAGTACTCTCTGCTCCTGTAGTATACGTCTACAGAGTACTCTCTGCTCCTGTAGTATGCGTCTATAGAGTACTCTCTGCTCCTGTAGTATGCGTCTACAGAGTACTCTCTGCTCCTGTAGTATACGTCTACAGAGTACTCTCTGCTCCTGTAGTATACGTCTACAGAGTACTCTCTGCTCCTGTAGTATGCGTCTACAGAGAACTCTCTGCTCCTGTAGTATGCGTCTACAGAGTACTCTCTGCTCCTGTAGTATGCGTCTACAGAGTACTCTCTGCTCCTGTAGTATGCGTCTATAGAGAACTCTCTGCTCCTGTAGTATGCGTCTATAGAGTACTCTCTGCTCCTGTAGTATACGTCTACAGAGTACTCTCTGCTCCTGTAGTATGCGTCTCTAGCGTACTCTCTGCTCCTGTAGTATGCGTCTACAGAGTACTCTCTGCTCCTGTAGTATACGTCTACAGAGTACTCTCTGCTCCTGTAGTATACGTCTATAGAGAACTCTCTGCTCCTGTAGTATACGTCTACAGAGTACTCTCTGCTCCTGTAGTATACGTCTATAGAGAACTCTCTGCTCCTGTAGTATGCGTCTATAGAGAACTCTCTGCTCCTGTAGTATGCGTCTACAGAGAACTCTCTGCTCCTGTAGTATGCGTCTCTAGCGTACTCTCTGCTCCTGTAGTATGCGTCTATAGAGTACTCTCTGCTCCTGTAGTATACGTCTACAGAGTACTCTCTGCTCCTGTAGTATGCGTCTATAGAGTACTCTCTGCTCCTGTAGTATGCGTCTATAGAGAACTCTCTGCTCCTGTAGTATACGTCTACAGAGTACTCTCTGCTCCTGTAGTATGCGTCTATAGAGTACTCTCTGCTCCTGTAGTATGCGTCTACAGAGTACTCTCTGCTCCTGTAGTATGCGTCTATAGAGTACTCTCTGCTCCTGTAGTATACGTCTACAGAGTACTCTCTGCTCCTGTAGTATACGTCTACAGAGTACTCTCTGCTCCTGTAGTATGCGTCTACAGAGTACTCTCTGCTCCTGTAGTATACGTCTACAGAGTACTCTCTGCTCCTGTAGTATGCGTCTACAGAGTACTCTCTGCTCCTGTAGTATGCGTCTATAGAGTACTCTCTGCTCCTGTAGTATGCGTCTACAGAGTACTCTCTGCTCCTGTAGTATACGTCTACAGAGTACTCTCTGCTCCTGTAGTATGCGTCTACAGAGTACTCTCTGCTCCTGTAGTATGCGTCTATAGAGTACTCTCTGCTCCTGTAGTATGCGTCTATAGAGTACTCTCTGCTCCTGTAGTATACGTCTACAGAGTACTCTCTGCTCCTGTAGTATACGTCTACAGAGTACTCTCTGCTCCTGTAGTATGCGTCTATAGAGTACTCTCTGCTCCTGTAGTATACGTCTACAGAGTACTCTCTGCTCCTGTAGTATACGTCTACAGAGTACTCTCTGCTCCTGTAGTATACGTCTACAGAGTACTCTCTGCTCCTGTAGTATGCGTCTACAGAGTACTCTCTGCTCCTGTAGTATGCGTCTACAGAGTACTCTCTGCTCCTGTAGTATGCGTCTATAGAGTACTCTCTGCTCCTGTAGTATGCGTCTACAGAGTACTCTCTGCTCCTGTAGTATACGTCTAGAGTACTCTCTGCTCCTGTAGTATGCGTCTATAGAGTACTCTCTGCTCCTGTAGTATACGTCTACAGAGTACTCTCTGCTCCTGTAGTATGCGTCTATAGAGTACTCTCTGCTCCTGTAGTATACGTCTATAGAGTACTCTCTGCTCCTGTAGTATACGTCTACAGAGTACTCTCTGCTCCTGTAGTATACGTCTACAGAGTACTCTCTGCTCCTGTAGTATACGTCTACAGAGTACTCTCTGCTCCTGTAGTATACGTCTACAGAGTACTCTCTGCTCCTGTAGTATACGTCTACAGAGTACTCTCTGCTCCTGTAGTATACGTCTACAGAGTACTCTCTGCTCCTGTAGTATACGTCTATAGAGTACTCTCTGCTCCTGTAGTATGCGTCTACAGAGTACTCTCTGCTCCTGTAGTATGCATCTACAGAGAACTCTCTGCTCCTGTAGTATGCGTCTACAGAGTACTCTCTGCTCCTGTAGTATACGTCTACAGAGTACTCTCTGCTCCTGTAGTATACGTCTATAGAGTACTCTCTGCTCCTGTAGTATACGTCTACAGAGTACTCTCTGCTCCTGTAGTATGCGTCTACAGAGTACTCTCTGCTCCTGTAGTATGCGTCTACAGAGTACTCTCTGCTCCTGTAGTATACGTCTACAGAGTACTCTCTGCTCCTGTAGTATACGTCTACAGAGTACTCTCTGCTCCTGTAGTATGCGTCTATAGAGAACTCTCTGCTCCTGTAGTATACGTCTATAGAGTACTCTCTGCTCCTGTAGTATGCGTCTATAGAGTAATCTCTGCTCCTGTAGTATGCGTCTATAGAGTACTCTCTGCTCCTGTAGTATGCGTCTACAGAGTACTCTCTGCTCCTGTAGTATGCGTCTACAGAGTACTCTCTGCTCCTGTAGTATGCGTCTATAGAGTACTCTCTGCTCCTGTAGTATGCGTCTATAGAGTACTCTCTGCTCCTGTAGTATACGTCTACAGAGTACTCTCTGCTCCTGTAGTATGCGTCTATAGAGTACTCTCTGCTCCTGTAGTATGCGTCTACAGAGTACTCTCTGCTCCTGTAGTATGCGTCTACAGAGTACTCTCTGCTCCTGTAGTATGCGTCTACAGAGTACTCTCTGCTCCTGTAGTATACGTCTACAGAGTACTCTCTGCTCCTGTAGTATACGTCTACAGAGTACTCTCTGCTCCTGTAGTATGCGTCTACAGAGAACTCTCTGCTCCTGTAGTATGCGTCTACAGAGTACTCTCTGCTCCTGTAGTATGCGTCTACAGAGTACTCTCTGCTCCTGTAGTATGCGTCTACAGAGTACTCTCTGCTCCTGTAGTATACGTCTATAGAGTACTCTCTGCTCCTGTAGTATACGTCTACAGAGTACTCTCTGCTCCTGTAGTATACGTCTATAGAGTACTCTCTGCTCCTGTAGTATACGTCTACAGAGTACTCTCTGCTCCTGTAGTATACGTCTACAGAGTACTCTCTGCTCCTGTAGTATACGTCTACAGAGTACTCTCTGCTCCTGTAGTATACGTCTATAGAGTACTCTCTGCTCCTGTAGTATACGTCTATAGAGTACTCTCTGCTCCTGTAGTATGCGTCTATAGAGTACTCTCTGCTCCTGTAGTATGCGTCTATAGAGTACTCTCTGCTCCTGTAGTATGCGTCTATAGAGTACTCTCTGCTCCTGTAGTATACGTCTATAGAGTACTCTCTGCTCCTGTAGTATACGTCTACAGAGTACTCTCTGCTCCTGTAGTATACGTCTACAGAGTACTCTCTGCTCCTGTAGTATGCGTCTACAGAGTACTCTCTGCTCCTGTAGTATACGTCTACAGAGTACTCTCTGCTCCTGTAGTATGCGTCTACAGAGTACTCTCTGCTCCTGTAGTATACGTCTACAGAGTACTCTCTGCTCCTGTAGTATGCGTCTATAGAGTACTCTCTGCTCCTGTAGTATGCGTCTCTAGAGTACTCTCTGCTCCTGTAGTATGCGTCTATAGAGTACTCTCTGCTCCTGTAGTATGCGTCTCTAGAGTACTCTCTGCTCCTGTAGTATACGTCTACAGAGTACTCTCTGCTCCTGTAGTATGCGTCTATAGAGTACTCTCTGCTCCTGTAGTATGCGTCTACAGAGTACTCTCTGCTCCTGTAGTATGCGTCTATAGAGTACTCTCTGCTCCTGTAGTATGCGTCTACAGAGTACTCTCTGCTCCTGTAGTATGCGTCTACAGAGTACTCTCTGCTCCTGTAGTATGCGTCTACAGAGTACTCTCTGCTCCTGTAGTATACGTCTACAGAGTACTCTCTGCTCCTGTAGTATACGTCTACAGAGTACTCTCTGCTCCTGTAGTATGCGTCTACAGAGAACTCTCTGCTCCTGTAGTATGCGTCTACAGAGTACTCTCTGCTCCTGTAGTATACGTCTACAGAGTACTCTCTGCTCCTGTAGTATGCGTCTACAGAGTACTCTCTGCTCCTGTAGTATACGTCTACAGAGAACTCTCTGCTCCTGTAGTATGCGTCTACAGAGTACTCTCTGCTCCTGTAGTATACGTCTACAGAGTACTCTCTGCTCCTGTAGTATACGTCTACAGAGTACTCTCTGCTCCTGTAGTATACGTCTACAGAGTACTCTCTGCTCCTGTAGTATACGTCTACAGAGTACTCTCTGCTCCTGTAGTATGCGTCTACAGAGTACTCTCTGCTCCTGTAGTATACGTCTACAGAGTACTCTCTGCTCCTGTAGTATGCGTCTATAGAGTACTCTCTGCTCCTGTAGTATACGTCTACAGAGTACTCTCTGCTCCTGTAGTATACGTCTACAGAGTACTCTCTGCTCCTGTAGTATGCGTCTACAGAGTACTCTCTGCTCCTGTAGTATACGTCTACAGAGTACTCTCTGCTCCTGTAGTATGCGTCTATAGAGTACTCTCTGCTCCTGTAGTATACGTCTACAGAGTACTCTCTGCTCCTGTAGTATACGTCTACAGAGAACTCTCTGCTCCTGTAGTATGCGTCTATAGAGTACTCTCTGCTCCTGTAGTATGCGTCTACAGAGTACTCTCTGCTCCTGTAGTATACGTCTACAGAGTACTCTCTGCTCCTGTAGTATGCGTCTACAGAGTACTCTCTGCTCCTGTAGTATGCGTCTACAGAGTACTCTCTGCTCCTGTAGTATGCGTCTACAGAGTACTCTCTGCTCCTGTAGTATGCGTCTACAGAGTACTCTCTGCTCCTGTAGTATACGTCTATAGAGAACTCTCTGCTCCTGTAGTATACGTCTATAGAGAACTCTCTGCTCCTGTAGTATACGTCTATAGAGAACTCTCTGCTCCTGTAGTATACGTCTATAGAGTACTCTCTGCTCCTGTAGTATACGTCTATAGAGTACTCTCTGCTCCTGTAGTATACGTCTATAGAGTACTCTCTGCTCCTGTAGTATGCGTCTATAGAGTACTCTCTGCTCCTGTAGTATGCGTCTACAGAGTACTCTCTGCTCCTGTAGTATGCGTCTACAGAGTACTCTCTGCTCCTGTAGTATACGTCTACAGAGTACTCTCTGCTCCTGTAGTATGCGTCTACAGAGAACTCTCTGCTCCTGTAGTATGCGTCTACAGAGAACTCTCTGCTCCTCTTAATAACTTAAAATCCCACTGTGCAGTTTACATTAATATTCCATTTAATATTTAATAATCCATTTCTTGCACAATAATATCCTGCATTATATTTGTTACTGGAAATGTGTATTTCCACATGTATATATATTTATTTGACTATTTAATGCTATTAAAGTCTGTCTGTCTGTCTGTCTGCCTGTCTGTCTGTCTGTCTGTCTGCCTGTCTGCCTGTCTGTCTGCCTGTCTGCCTGTCTGTCTGTCTGTCTGTCTGTCTGTCTGTCTGTCTGTCTGTCTGTCTTTCTGCCTGTCTGTCTGTCTGTCTGCAGAATTTAGGAGTAATAAAGTATTTTTCATTGGCCGTGTACTCTCGCGAGATCGTATCCGAGATATTTTGACGTCTCCCTGTTCCAGCCTTCTCATTGGTCCTTGTGGGCTTCAGTTCAAACAGTTACGCGCGAGGAGCAGAGCTAACGCTAGCGAGCTGTCGGTTTTGTCCCTTTGAATGCGATGTCCGCTGAATAAAACACAGCTTCAGTGAGTTACTCTTCAATATAATGTTTATCTCAGTTGTTCGGCTGTGTTTTAATGTCGCGTGTGGTTCCTAAAGGAGTTTTAAACTCAACTAACGGACGCGTGTGTGTTTATGAGGGCTAGCTCGATGTGGCTAATGCTAACAACAAAGATGTTTACAGCTGTTTATTTCTTATGATTGTTACTTTATATTTAATATGTTTATAGTTAGTTAATGGTAGTGTATATATTTGTGTATGTCTGATCGGGAAATACCGCTTTATTTGCAGAGGTGTCGAGTAACTAAGTACTGTCCTCAAGTACTTAAGTACAATTTAGAGGTACTTGTACTTTACTTTAGTATTTCGATGTTATGCTACTGTGTACTTCTACTGCACTACAGTTCAGAGGTACATGGTGTACTTCTACTCCTCTACAGTTCAGAGGTACATGGTGTACTTCTACTCCTCTACAGTTCAGAGGTACATGGTGTACTTCTACTCCACTACAGTTCAGAGGTACATGGTGTACTTTTACTCCTCTACAGTTCAGAGGTACATGGTGTACTTCTACTCCTCTACAGTTCAGAGGTACATGGTGTACTTCTACTCCACTACATGTATTTAATACCTTTAGTAACTTCACAGATGTGGATGAATGATGTGAAATATAACCAAGTGTTAAATCAGACTTTAGTTCCACCTGGAGTAAATCCACAAGCTACCCTGCAGTATACAAAGTCATTCAAACTAGCTGCACCTTTACCAGCTTTGAGAACACTTTCATGATCAATCATTATAAAACATATCATATATATTATTCTGAAATGGACCAATCTGCACAACGACTACTTTTACTGTACTTTCACTATATTTTGATGAGAATACTTTTCTACTTTCACTTGAGGAACATTTTGAATGCAGTACTTTCACTGAAACAGAGTATTCCTACACTCTGGTACTTCTACTTTTACTCAAGTACAAGATCTGAGTACTTCTACTTTTACTCAAGTACAAGATATGAGTACTTCTACTTTTACTCAAGTACAAGATATGAGTACTTCTACTTTTACTCAAGTACAAGATCTGAGTACTTCTACTTTTACTCAAGTACAAGATATGAGTACTTCTACTTTTACTCAAGTACAAGATCTGAGTACTTCTACTTTACTCAAGTACAAGATATGAGTACTTCTACTTTTACTCAAGTACAAGATATGAGTACTTCTACTTTTACTCAAGTACAAGATATGAGTACTTCTACTTTTACTCAAGTACAAGATATGAGTACTTCTACTTTTACTCAAGTACAAGATCTGAGTACTTCTACTTTTACTCAAGTACAAGATATGAGTACTTCTACTTTTACTCAAGTACAAGATCTGAGTACTTCTACTTTTACTCAAGTACAAGATATGAGTACTTCTACTATTACTCAAGTACAAGATATGAGTACTTCTACTATTACTCAAGTACAAGATATGAGTACTTCTACTTTTACTCAAGTACAAGATCTGAGTACTTCTACTTTTACTCAAGTACAAGATATGAGTACTTCTACTATTACTCAAGTACAAGATATGAGTACTTCTACTTTTACTCAAGTACAAGATCTGAGTACTTCTACTTTTACTCAAGTACAAGATCTGAGTACTTCTACTTTTACTCAAGTACAAGATATGAGTACTTCTACTTTTACTCAAGTACAAGATATGAGTACTTCTACTTTTACTCAAGTACAAGATCTGAGTACTTCTACTTTACTCAAGTACAAGATATGAGTACTTCTACTTTTACTCAAGTACAAGATCTGAGTACTTCTACTTTTACTCAAGTACAAGATATGAGTACTTCTACTTTTACTCAAGTACAAGATATGAGTACTTCTACTTTTACTCAAGTACAAGATATGAGTACTTCTACTTTTACTCAAGTACAAGATATGAGTACTTCTACTTTTACTCAAGTACAAGATCTGAGTACTTCTACTTTTACTCAAGTACAAGATATGAGTACTTCTACTTTTACTCAAGTACAAGATCTGAGTACTTCTACTTTTACTCAAGTACAAGATATGAGTACTTCTACTATTACTCAAGTACAAGATATGAGTACTTCTACTATTACTCAAGTACAAGATATGAGTACTTCTACTTTTACTCAAGTACAAGATCTGAGTACTTCTACTTTTACTCAAGTACAAGATATGAGTACTTCTACTATTACTCAAGTACAAGATATGAGTACTTCTACTTTTACTCAAGTACAAGATCTGAGTACTTCTACTTTTACTCAAGTACAAGATATGAGTACTTCTACTTTTACTCAAGTACAAGATATGAGTACTTCTACTTTTACTCAAGTACAAGGTCTGAGTACTTCTACTATTACTCAAGTACAAGATATGAGTACTTCTACTTTTACTCAAGTACAAGATATGAGTACTTGTACTGACCCTAAGGCCTTGAAGCATCACATGTAGATCACATGATGAAGGCAGCAGCTCTGATTGGACCACCAGGAGGGACAACAGGTGTTAATGTGATTGATGTCTCCTGCAGAAATGATGGAGTCTTGTTTTGGGGAGAAGCCGGAGAGAGAGGGGCCGGTGGTCGTGGACGACATCAAGAGAGACCTCCTGGAGGAGTTCAATGCTCTGCCTGCACAGGTACCTGTCTGTCTCTCACCTGTCTGTCACCTGTCTGTCTGTACCTGTCTGTCACCTGTCTGTCTGTACCTGTCTGTCACCTGTCTCTCTGTACCTGTCTCTCACCTGTCGGTCTGTACCTGTCTCTCACCTGTCTGTCTGTACCTGTCTGTTTTAAAGGTCACCTATTATGCAGAATCCTCTTCTTCATGTCTCTTCTTCATCAACATGTGTCCCCTCTTCTTCATGTCTCTTCTACATCGACATGTGTCCCCTCTTCTTCATGTCTCTTCTACATCAACATGTGTCCCCTCTTCTTCATGTCTCTTCTTCATCAACATGTGTCCCCTCTTCTTCATGTCTCTTCTACATCAACATGTGTCCCCTCTTCTTCATGTCTCTTCTTCATCAACATGTGTCCCCTCTTCTTCATGTCTCTTCTTCATCAACATGTGTCCCCTCTTCTTCATGTCTCTTCTACATCAACATGTGTCCCCTCTTCTTCATGTCTCTTCTTCATCAACATGTGTCCCCTCTTCTTCATGTCTCTTCTTCATGTCTCTTCTTCATCAACATGTGTCCCCTCTTCTTCATGTCTCTTCTTCATGTCTCTTCTTCATCAACATGTGTCCCCTCTTCTTCATGTCTCTTCTTCATCAACATGTGTCCCCTCTTCTTCATGTCTCTTCTTCATCAACATGTGTCCCCTCTTCTTCATGTCTCTTCTTCATGTCTCTTCTTCATCAACATGTGTCCCCTCTTCTTCATGTCTCTTCTACATCAACATGTGTCCCCTCTCTTCATGTCTCTTCTACATCAACATGTGTCCCCTCTTCTTCATGTCTCTTCTTCATCAACATGTGTCCCCTCTCTTCATGTCTCTTCTTCATCAACATGTGTCCCCTCTTCTTCATGTCTCTTCTAATCAACATGTGTCCCCTCTTCTTCATGTCTCTTCTTCATCAACATGTGTCCCCTCTTCTTCATGTCTCTTCTTCATGTCTCTTCTTCATCAACATGTGTCCCCTCTTCTTCATGTCTCTTCTACATCAACATGTGTCCCCTCTTCTTCATGTCTCTTCTTCATCAACATGTGTCCCCTCTTCTTCATGTCTCTTCTTCATCAACATGTGTCCCCTCTTCTTCATGTCTCTTCTTCATCAACATGTGTCCCCTCTTCTTCATGTCTCTTCTTCATGTCTCTTCTTCATCAACATGTGTCCCCTCTTCTTCATGTCTCTTTTACATCAACATGTGTCCCCTCTTCTTCATGTCTCTTCTTCATCAACATGTGTCCCCTCTTCTTCATGTCTCTTCTTCATGTCTCTTCTTCATCAACATGTGTCCCCTCTTCTTCATGTCTCTTTTACATCAACATGTGTCCCCTCTTCTTCATGTCTCTTCTTCATCAACATGTGTCCCCTCTTCTTCCTGTCTCTTCTTCATCAACATGTGTTCCCTCTTCCAGGGCTCTCGGCTAACTTCTTTCACCATCCTCCCGGAACCGTCCCGAAATACAATCTAAGCCGTCCCGAAATTAATGTGGACCGTCCCGAATTTAAAATATTAGTTTTTCTACATTATCATTAGTTAAAATCATTCAAAGTGACCTTTAACATAAATAAAACATCATACAAATCATTAGATGATAATTCATCAACCTTTTTAATTGAGTAAATCAGTCAAACACATAAACAAAGGCCAAATATATTTAAAAAAAAACACACAAGCGAGAAAGTTACTCTAATATTGAATCCAATCAAGTTCTATCCAATTATCAAAAACATCCAACACTCTGTCCTGAAGACAGAAGACAGAACCCAGAGTAACCACTAACCAGGATGACAGTCTGTAACACAGTCAGGAGACCTTTACAAACTGCCCCGCCCCCTCGCACACAGACGGGGGAGAGAGCTCTCTCGTCTGGATTGGAAAGATCGAAAATAAGATCGAAAATACATCATAGACGCATTTTGTAGACTTATTGCATATTAGAAACGGAGTTGGCGAAACTAAAACTGCGATATAATGTTCATGTAGCAATAATACATGACATATATGTTTTAAATGTCTCCACTACCGATAAAAAGTCAGATAACGTCGGAGCTTAACGCTACCACTGTCTTTAATAATTCCGGCCCGGGGCCCGTTTAATACCGGGGCTCGGTACCCATCCCTACATGGGGAGAGACGCAGCATATTGCTAAGGACTAAATACGATGGAGAGTTCTCATCTCAGCCTTATTACCCATAGGGGATGAAGAGGAGTTAGTAAATAAAGAGGCCGGCGCTCCAGGGTTAGGTTCTGCTGTGCGTTTTCGTGATGTAACGTAAACAATTGCAGAATTCCTCCACGGGATGCCATTGTCATTGTACATCACTCAACGCGAAATACACACACTCAGTACATAGCTAGACCCAATAATTTGCGGGCCAGGAGTTTGCGGGCAACAGCTGTGTGTGTGTGTGTGTGTGTGTGTGTGTGTGTGTGTGTGTGTGTGTGTGTGTGTGTGTGTGTGTGTGTGTGTGTGTGTGTGTGTGTGTGTGTGTGTGTGTGTGTGTGTGTGGTGTGTGTGTGTGTGGTGTGGTGTGTGTGTTGTGTGTGTGTGTGTGTGTGTGTGTGTGTGGTGTGTGTGTGTGTGTGTGTGATGTGTGTGTGTGTGGGTGTGTGTGTGTGTAGTGTGTGTGTATTTCGCGGTTTGCTAAATGTTTTGTGCGTGTGTGTTTATGTTGACAAGGAGGTTTAATAACTGTGTGCTACACAAAACGTGCAGTCAGTTTCATTTTCATCGCCGTTCGTACTGTAGTAGAGTTATCAGGGTATTTTTATTTTAACTCTCGTCCCAAATTCGTCCCAAGATTATTTTTTTATCCTCCCCGACCCTATTTTTTTCGGCCCCGGGACGACGGGACGTCCTTAAGCTCGAGCCCTGCCCTCTTCTTCATGTCTCTTCTACATCAACATGTGTCCCCTCTTCTTCATGTCTCTTCTTCATCAACATGTGTCCCCTCTTCTTCATGTCTCTTCTCTATCAACATGTGTCCACTCTCTTCATGTCTCTTCTTCATCACCATGTGTCCCCCTCTTCTTCATCAACATGTGTCCCCCTCTTCTTCATGTCTCTTCTTCATCAACATGTGTCCCCCTCTTCTTCATGTCTCTTCTTCATCAACATGTGTCCCCTCTTCTTCATGTCTCTTCTTCATCAACATGTGTCCCCTTCTTCTTCATGTCAGTCTTCTTCATCAACATGTGTCCCCTTCTTCTTCATGTCTCTTCTTCATCAACATGTGTCCCCTCTTCTTTCGTGTCTCTTCTACATCAACATGTGTCCCCTCTTCTTCGTGTCTCTTCTTCATCAACATGTGTCCCCTCTTCTTCGTGTCTCTTCTTCATCAACATGTGTCCCCTCTTCTTCGTGTCTCTTCTTCATCAACATGTGTCCCCCCTCTTCTTCAGTCTCTTCTACATCAAACATGTGTCCCCTCTTCTTCATGTCTCTTCTTCATGTCTCTTCTACATCAACATGTGTCCCCTCTTCTTCATGTCTCTTCCTTCATCAACATGTGTCCCCTCTTCTTCATGTCTCTTCTACATCAACAGTGTCCCCTCTTCTTCATGTCTCTTCTACATCAACATGTGCCCCTCTTCTCATGTCTCTTCTTCATCAACATGTGTCCCTCTTCCTTCATGTCTCTTCTTCATCAACATGTGTCCCCTCTTCTTCATGTCTCTTCTACATCAACATGTGTTCCCCTCTTCTTCATGTCTCTTCTTCATCAACATGTGTCCCCTCTTCTTCATGTCTCTTCTTCATCAACATGTGTCACCCTCTTCATGCTCTTCTACATTCAACATGGTCCACCTCTTCTATGTCTCTTCTTCATCAACATGTGTCCCCTCTTCTTCGTGTCTCTTCTTCATCAACATGTGTCCCCTCTTCTTCATGTCTTTTCTTCATCAACATGTGTCCCCTCTTCTTCATGTCTCTTCTACATCAACATGTGTCCCCTCTTCTTCATGTCTCTTCTTCATGTCTCTTCTACATCAACATGTGTCCCCTCTTCTTCATGTCTCTTCTTCATCAACATGTGTCCCTCTTCTTCATGTCTCTTCTACATCAACATGTGTCCCCTCTTCTTCATGTCTCTTTTTCATGTCCTTTTCTTCATCAACAGTGTTCCCCTCTCTTCATGTCTCTTCTTCATCAACATGTGTCCCTCTTCTTCATGTCTCTTCTTCATCAACATGTGTCCCCTCTTCTTCATGTCTCTTCTACATCAACATGTGTCCCCTCTTCTTCATGTCTCTTCTTCATGTCTCTTCTACATCAGCATGTGTCCCCTCTTCTTCGTGTCTCTTCTACATCAACATGTGTCCCCTCTTCTTCATGTCTCTTCTTCATCAACATGTGTCCCCTCTTCTTCATGTCTCTTCTTCATCAACATGTGTCCCCTCTTCTTTCAGTCTTTCTCATCAAACATGTGTCCCCTCTTCTTCATGTCTCTTCTTCATCAACATGTGTCCCCTCTCTTCATGTCTCTTTTAATCAACATGTGTCCCCTCTTCTTCATGTCTTCTTCTGCATTCAACATGTGTCCCCTCTTTTCATGTCTCTTCTACATCAACATGTGTCCCCTTCTCTTCATGTCTCTCTCATTCATCAACAGGTGTACCTCTTCTTCATGTCTCTTCTACATCAAATGTGTCCCTCTTCTTCATGTCTCTTCTTCTATCACATGTGTCCCCCTCTCTTCATGCTCTCTTCATCAACATTGGTCCCTCTTCTTCATGTCTCTTCTTCATCAACATGTGTCCCCTCTTCTTCATGTCTCTTCTACATCAACATGTGTCCCCTCTTCTTCATGTCTCTCTGTTCTTTCAACATGTGTCCCATCTCATTGTCTTTCATGTCTCTTCTTCATCAACATGTGTCCCCTCTTC